CACCCCCGTACACCCCACGGCCCTGCCTGCCCTCCACCCTCACCGCCACTGCCCAGTCAGGGGTCTCAGCACCAAGTCCCTCCTCAGGCCCCTCCCATCCTTCAGGGACCTCTCATCATCCCATGAGGACAGCCTCAGCGCCAACTACACCCACAGGGGAGTGACCCTCTGGGCCTCACTGAGGTGAGCTGGAGGGAAGGAAGCAGCCCACTGTCTGAGCCCTGAGGCTGCCTGGTGCCCCTCCCCCCATCAGGCTGCCTGAGCGGAAGGTGTCCTGGCCGAATGCGTGTGCTGGGGGCGGGACGAGGACCCCAGGCCAGCGCTGTTCTCAGCATTCTCCGAGAAGGCACGGCTCTGTAGCTGGAGACCAGGACCTTGAGCAGCATCAGGGACCCGGCGCACCCCACAGGGTGTTGGGGAGCATTTGTAAAGGCGCCGAGGCTCCTGGGAAACACCATGGCTCTCTCCAAGGAGATTCATGGTCAAACCACAAAAGAGGGGAAGCCAGGCTCCTGGCCATCACTCGGATCCCCATGTGGAAGAGAGAAAATCAGAGGAGAAGCCTGCGGAGCTGGCTTGGAAAGTGTGACCCCACAGTTTCCAGGCACAACAGACAAACACGCTCAGGAGCGTGGCACAGGGCGACAGCCCACGCACGGGGTCAGGTCGGCAGGAAGAGGGCAGGGGCTGGACGACGCCTCCTGCCAGAAGGGAAGCAGGTGCCAGTGCCCGGCTGCCCGCCGGCCGCATCTGGACATTCTGAGTGTCCAAGTGCACCGTGCTACCAGGCGGGTTAAAGGGCGTGTCCACACGCGTACACCCAAGGGACACAGTCTGTGGGCAGCAGCGGGAGTGTCCCTGTGGTCCGAGGTTACAAAGGGGGGGCACGTATGGGCATTCCGTCTGTCTGCCCCTCTCCTGCCTGTTTCTCATCTGCGTCCATCTCGATCCCTATCTCTACCTCTCTCTGCCTCCCTCCTTTTGTCTCTCGGCCTCAGCGTCTGTCTGTCTCCCTCCCCCCTGGCTCACTGGCTCACAGGAGGCCACGTCATGAAAGGCCTGTGGAACAACCCCCCTGGCTAGAGACTGAGTCTCCCCGTAGCCACGTGAGCTGGCCTGGTCCTCAGCCCTGGTCGCCGCTCAGCCCGGGTCAGCCTTGGCCACACCTCACGAGGGGCCCTGACCCCAAACCGCCTGCTAAGCCACACCTGAACCCCCGACCTCGGAGAATGGGGAGAGGTGTGTGCACAGTGTGGAGTTGGGGCATTTGTTGCACGGTGAGGGGTAACTCACCAACGGAGCATATAACCTACTGAATAAAGCCAAGCTGTGCATCCACAGAAATAGAAATAAAAAACCTGGTGAAATGGAGACATTGCTAGTTCCACAGCACCTCCCACCAACAGTCACTAATGAGGGCTGCACCTGCAGCCCCACCACGCGATCACAGGGAGTCCGGCCGGCGTACTAGAGGGTGGGCTGCCCCGCCTGGCACAGGGCTCCTGAAGACAGAGCCTGGCACTGAAGGATGGGCCGAGGGGCGGGCTGCACTCCGGCTCTGACCCCGGGAGCTGGGCAGCTCCATCCTCGTCCTTGTCCTGGGGCGCAGGCCCCAGGCTGCCCAGCGGCAATGTCCTCACACAGGGCTCGGGCGCATGCTTGCAACCCTTTGGGAAGTCTGTGATGACTTCACGCACTCAGGAGACGACTCTGACGGGATGAACCATGACCCCAGCGTGGCCCCTCCCCCCACCCCAGGCTCAGCGGGTGAGAGCAGGGGCCAGGCCGGGGGTCAGCACGCGCCGCCCAGGGCACAGCCGCCTGACTGGAGGCCCTGAAAAGAGGCCGCCCCGGCTCCTGCTGCCACTTCTATTTCTGCCCGTGACCCACTTTCCTTCCTGCACGGCACAGACGCCGCGCCTCCCCACCAGTCAGCCTCGCCAGGCCTCGCTCCTGCTTTTTCCCAACCAGGGAAGATGGTAGCCACATCGTATGTCACCCCGAAAGCCTATTATCCGGGGGATGAGGCAGAAGTAAAGCTGGCACATAACCTCGAGAACCCCCTGTGCTGGGCTCCCCCCCGCCCCCTGCCACCCAGGGCCCACTGAGAGGAACCTCCAGATCAGAAACCTGCCTGCTCTCAGCCCCCCAGGCATCGTCTTTCTGACCCACGGCCCCCACCCCATGAGGACCTAGGACCTGCTGGGCGGGGACAAGGGTGTGTTTAGAGGGAGAGCAGAGCTGTCCTCCCTGCTCCCTGCCACCCTGAGGGCCTCATCAGAACCAAGAGTGGGTGCCAGAATCTCTCCCCGCAGTGCTCACACCTCCGCCCCAGTGCTCATACCTCAGCCCCAGTGCTCAGACCTCCGCCCCAGTGCTCACACCTCCGCCCCAGAGAGAGGCAGCAGCCCCAGTGCGGGGTCACCCTGTGCTCCCGCTGAGTTTCCCTGTGAGTGACCTCGCCCCAGTGCTCACACCTCCGCCCCAGTGCTCACACCTCCGCCCCAGTGCTCAGACCTCTGCCTTAGAGAGAGGCAGCAGCCCCAGTGCGGGGTCACCCTGTGCTCCCGCTGAGTTTCCCTGTGAGTGACCTTCCATTTATGACAACTGGCACGTCTCATTCATGACGTCTGTTACTCTATGTTTGGAGGAAGTCTGTGCTGAGTTACGGCTGCTGGGCAGTGAGCCTCCTCACTCCTCAGGTCCTGGCGCTGGCCCAGGGCCGGCTGGGAGACCTGGGCTGCCGAGGCCGGGACCCTGGTGCCAGCTCTGGGGTTTACGGTGGGTGGGGAAGTAAGAACCGGGCCAACAGCCACAGAACCAGCACCAGCCAGGCCCGGCAGGAGCCGCAGGGCCGGCGCGAGCACTGGCAGGCAGCGCTTCGGTCAGCACAGCCGCTCCCCCAGTCCGGCCCGCGCGCAACGCAGAGCAGTAGGGACACGCTGTTCTGGTTTTGCCTGGAACTGAGCACGGGACGTGCCTGCTGTGTGGACACTGCGCTGCAGGGAAAGTGCTCCACATGGAAAGCTCTTTTGAAGGAGCCGGCGGGGGGGGGGGGGGGGGGGGGGCAGAAGGGAGAGGAGAAACACTGGCCCAGGGCCTCCACTGGGACCTGCTGCCAGTTCAGCGAGTGCCAGGGACGGGCGAGTTGGGCCTGGGGGGACGGCTGGGCTGCAGGAGAGCAGCATCGGGGGGAAGAGCCCTTCAGGGAGGTAGGCAGACCCAGAAAGGGCAGCTGGGTCCAGACCCCTGAGCAGGAGGAGGAGGCTGTAGGCTGAGGGGCAGGCAGCACCGGGAGGCGCCCCTGCGGCCCAGGCACTGGACACTGGACCCGGCTTGGCCCCCGAAGTGAATCCCTCCGGCAGGAAGGCGCCCTGGTGCCCAGGCTGCCGCAGAGAGGGCGGGCGTGCTGCTGGCCGCCTGCGCCTCCTGCGTCCCTGGCCCTGGCCCCACCCTCAGAGCCCAGAGGCACCCGTCCCCCAAGGCTGTCCCAGGGCACCTCATCTCCTCGGAGGGCCCCCTTCCTGCCCCCTGGTCAGCGTGTGCTGCTGGCCAGGTCCCCGGCCCGAGGTCCCTCCAGGACACTGCACACGACCCACACCCTAACGCCGCCTCGCATGTCACTATCTGTGCTTTAAATTTCAGCGGAGCGCGGAAGGGGGCCGGCAGCGTGAGGGAGGCGCGGCCGCATCCAGGACGCCGTGCAGGGGACTGTGCAGAGGCAACGCTCAGTAAATGCGCAGCAGTCCCCAGCACGCCCCGTGGGCCAGCCTCCCGGCTCGGCGCTGGAGACCCATTCAATCCGTGCGTAACACGTGTCTGCCCGTGACCGGCAGCTGGTCCTGACACGGGAGCCAGGCCACCGGGATGTCACACGCACTGCGAATGCGAGCGCGGCCGGCATAGGCCGCATTGGTGGGAGGTGGGGCCGTGACTGGCCTGGCTCCGTCTCCCGCTGGCCTGCTGCACCCTCACCTCACCACCTGCCTGGGCCCCGTGAGCCCCCCGACCGCCCTCAGCCGTGGCTCCGTCTCCCGCTGGCCTGCTGCACCCTCACCTCACCATGTGCCTGGGCCCCGTGAGCCCACCAACTGCCCTCGGCGGCGGCTCCCGCACTCGCCCGCACAACGAGCCTGGCTCCTCCTGGGAGCAGGGCCTGGGCCCAGCGGGAAGCTGCACCTCTTCCGGGCCAGCCCTGCCCGGCCACTCCTCCTCCTAACCCCCCGGGCCGACGAGTCCAGCTGGGCAGCACCTGTTGGTTGCACCCTGTGGCACTTCTGATCGATGTGCTGTATTCGGTCACGGTCATTTAAAGGGAAAGCGGGCTCGCCCTCTGCAGAGACCCTGCTGGCTCTCACTTCTGCCCAGTTTCTCCAGGAAAAGCCGGTCCCATCAGTTTCTCACGGTACCTTTCCTCTCTCTGCGACCCTGAGCACACCCCTCCTGCTCCCGCCGGCCTCCTGGGCCACATGCGGCTCAAAACACAAGGTAACACAGATCCAAACTCAAAGGCCCACATTTATGCAAAGTCGGCAGAACCCGGTCAGAGCGGGGCCTTTCTTGACACCCCGTTTCTGAGCCACGTCCCACATCTGGGCAGCGGGGTATCCAACCCACGCTGTCCCTCACGGCCACACGCAACACGCCCTCGTTCCAGACCCCTCCCACGGCAACACCCTTCTGGCTCTGTTCCAACCTTTGGAAACCACAGACTCTCAAGGCTGTGCCCCACGATTCCACAGCCCACCCAACGCCCACCGCCACCCTCCACAGCCCACCACCGCCCGCCACCCTCCACTGCCCA